GCAAGAAAAAAAACAGAAAAATAAAAATAAAGGAAATCTTTTTAAGGGGTTTTTGCAGGGTGAGGGTGGGGGTAGGGGTAGGGTGGGTGATGCAGAAAAAAAAATAGAAAATTAAAAATAAAAAAAATAAAAAAGTTAAGAAAAATTTGGGGGTTAGCGGGTTGAGGGATGGGTGATGCAAAAAAATAAAAAAATAGAAAATTAGAAATACAAAAAAAAAAAAAAGTAAAATTGGGACAACTAAGTAAATTTTTAGATAAGTTGGATTGAGATCCCTATGTTTTGGGTGAGTTTCATGGGTTATATTTGGGTTGCTTAATGAGTCAAAATGAGCTATAAAAAATAATGGACTAACTTGGTCTCAGCCCAAATAGACCTATGAGCTAAAATATTTGTCGCTCAACCCATTAATCTTTGGGCGGGTTGGGCAGATTAGGCGAGTTTGAGCTCAAATTGCCACCCCTGCTACCTACGACTAGTTCTAGAAAGATTGAAAGTCGACTTGAAGAAGTATCCAACTCCTTAAAGTAAACTCCTTTACTATATATCTTACATCCTTTGTACTTCCCTAACTTAAAACAACCTTTATCCCTCCATATTTAATTCCACTCTTGGAACTTCTCTTTACGCTCAACAAAACGAAGTTTTACATAGAACAACATACAATGCTGAGAAGCACCAAGGGGATTCCAGCTTGCGATACCAAGCACCTAAAATCAATGACTGATTCCTCTCTGTACAACAACAATGTACGAGGTCCGGGGCAAATTTTTTTTGACTACCACAGATGACAGAACTGACCCTTGGAATTCCAGCTTCATGTCGCTCATCGTTTTTAAGAACTGAAATTCCAAGCTGAACTTAAGTTCCAAAACATCTTCTGAACTTAAGAAGCAAACACCATTTGCTATTAAAACAGAAGCCAAATTACAGAATAAGGAATATGCTTCTGCCTTATCTGTACATCTGAACAATTTGGGAGGCATAAAAGCAGGTTAAAGTGACTCCATCCTTGTATCATCTATCAGGAGAAACCATCTTTAAAATGGTGAGAGTGCCTCTTCTCCAATCATTCTATCTCCCTTACAATCATTGTTGGAACTAACTTAAAGCACATTGTGGTAATTTGTGAAGTGCTATCCTATAGAAAAACCTTGAGTTATCAACAAAAAGAACCTGAGTCAAGGGACAACTGTGTTTTAGAATCCCATGTACCCATAGAGAAACAACGCTACTATTCCTCTAGGGAAATATGCGAGATAATGGCTTCCGTAAGAGGGAGAGGTCATTCCGTCATGCAATAGTATTCATCTAACTTGTCCTTCCTTCTCGTGTGCTAGATGATGGAGGCAGGAGTTCCTTTTGGTCATGGTACTAGGAAATAGAATCCTAAAGAGTTTCTTGCTGAGCTACCTCAATTTACTCTTAACCCTCTCTTCAGTTGCTGAAGCACCAAATCTTCTCAGGTATTAACCAACTCAACTTGTTCCCTTTAGTCATATCTATCCTCACTATAGCTCTTACGGCTTGGAAAGCATATCACCAACAGCGAAGTTATAGCTTTTACCTCCTATTTCAATCTGACTGCAGCCAATTTCTTTTTGCAAGCCCAACTCCTTCATCTTTTGCCTCAATTGTCTAACAGAATCCCAGTCCCCATATCTAGCAAAAGTTGGACACCAAAACATATATTTCTGCTCTTTTTGGCTCTAATTCCAGCAACTTCTCAGCACATTTCTTCCCAAGATTTAATTGGACATGAACCATACATGAACTGAGCAACGAGCTCCAAATTGTCGACCTTCTTCAATGAGCCCGGCATGGTTACATGCCATTAAAATAGAGACATATGTCAAGCTCGTAGGCGTGAAGCCCGATTTTTGCATTTCCAGAAATAGCTTGATGACCTCCATTCCAAGTCCATGAACTGCATATCCTGTAATCATAGCTGTCCATGCTGCTATATCTTTGACCGGAATATGGTCAAAGACATACTTGGACATCCCTATGAATCCAGATTTAGCATACATGTCTATGATTGAGCAATGAACAAAAGTATCCTCTATAAGGTGAGTTTTTAGTGCAAAGCAGTGAACTTCTTTCCCCAGCTTGACAGCAGACAATGTTGAACAAGCCCCCAAGACACTTATAACAAAAATTTCTTCAGGTTGTCATGGTATTCAAGACCATTTCTAAGCGAGTAGTCATGCAGTTCTTTCACTATCAACTGCTCTGATTCTGTTAAGCACACATGCAAAACATTCAACAGAGTGACATCATTGCCTTCACATATTCACTGGCACTTTGCATCCTTCACACAAGATGAAATGTTCCTCTAACATCTCCTCCTCCTGAATAACCCTCGATAATGGAATTCCAAGAGACCACATTTTTGCTCTCATTTTTTCAAACAGAATTGGGGCATCAGCAAAGTACCCAACTTTGCAATACATATCCACTAAAGAATTAGTCAATGTTAACTCGTTCGCCAGTTCTAGCTTTTCAGTTAAACCATGAATAATCTTTCCCAACCCCACTTCCTCTTTTGCTGCACATAATGGCAGCATAATAACCATGGTAGTTGCGTCTGGAACAACTACCGATCCGGGCAGGAGCTACAATCAACGAAATTTTGATTGAAACTACTTTTTCATAGTACCACTCCCAACAACGGTAGTAGTAGAGCCATCAGCAAATTTTAGCTCACCCAATGATGTTGATGGGTTAAGTGAAAGGAGCACTTAATATGCAGTTCATGACCCAATGGAGCATCATATAGACAAGACGTCTCCTCTTTCCAGTCATTTAAATTTGAATTTGGTCGATCAGTGCTTGCAAATTAGGTGTAGTACAAGCCTAGCAAATGTCAAGAGATTGAAGTTGTATGTTAAATAGTTACAAGTTCAGCTCCACAAGGAGACGAGGAAAGAAAAACCTAATCAGTAAGAGAAGGAAAGAATCCTTGTTTGGATCTAAGTTATTATTTTTATTTCATGAGCCCCTAAATTGATAAAAATTCAGGCACCAAAAGTTACAGTATCGCTATCATTTTCTTTGTTTTGTTTCCTGGTCTCTCAGGCATAGAAAGATATTTTCCAAACTCCAATGATTGCGATGATATTTTATTTTGAAGGACTTTAAGAAAAAAAATTAAAATTTGTAATCTTAAACATGTTATAACATTTGTGTAGCTATAATTTTTTTAAAATTCATGGTATTATACATGAGATAATATTTATGTGATAAAATAAAAGTGTAAAGTTAATTGTTTCTAATTTAAAGTGTGTCATTCTATTTAAAACGAATTTAAAAGTAAAATATGTTGTATAAACTGAAAGAGAGTTGCACAAAAACTTTCTTCACTGGTTTACACTTGAAGTGCAATAACAAGTAAACCTGTACTCATCGGCCATCGCTAACTTTGTCTGGGAACACGGTAGCAAGATGAAATTCCTCTCAAGTAAGGAGATATTCATCTTTAACTACCCTTTTCGCTCCCTTGACTTGTAGGAGATCTCGGATTCACATTTCCTCCCAATCTCCTGGCCGTGCGTTGGAGGGCTGCTAGTTTCTGGCGTTGCCTATGGCTTTTCCTTTGACTGCATAGTAAAAGTAAATTTACATTGATGAAGATGATGATCACTCTAATGGGCTAAGAATCATTCCACATGATTGTACAGCTGGAACTTGGAAAGTAACAACATTCTAAGACTACATGCCACACCAGAGAGTTCATGAAGCTTCAAATAAGATTCTCTTTATTTTATAATTACTAAAAGAGAGTGGCTTCACCTGGTAAATAGAAGTCCTGCTGTAAGAACCATGCCTCCTACTGCCCAAGATATTCTCTCTTTAAATGTCATGTCCTCCACCCATTGTTTGAAATCTTCAATGAATCCAGAACTGTCCGTTTTTTCTTGCACCTTGGATTGTGAAGCCCTCCATGAATCAGCAATAAAATCCACACTAGATTTTCCACCATAGCAAGAAACTTCTTCTGGATCATCAGACAAAGACTTCACAGAAAAACCTGCAACGCGGCAGAGCTCTGTCCCATTAGAGATCCATTGGGATGCTCTACCACAAACAAAGTCGCTTACACCACAGGGTGCTAGAACCTGACATGTAATTTCTAATCAGATGTGAGATATGTCAATAACTGATTCAATACAAACATGATGAGAAAATAATTGAGGCTGTTGGCATTGAGCTCAACCAAAGGGGCCAAAAGCATCTTCATTGAGACACACAGACTATACGATCCAAAATACAAATCATAACATCCAATGCAAGCTTATTGTTTGCTGAATTTTGATACACCATTGCTGAATAACTCATCTGAAAAATCTGTTAACAAACTGAACTCAAACAAACCTGTGTCTTAGCATCCATGGAGAAGTACGCGTTGGAGCAAGCTTGGTATACTTTGTTACAGAAAGAGGTGCATAAAACAGGGGGTCCCGCCTGCACACCAACACGTGGATCACAGATTGAACATTCTAACATTTCCCATAAGTGCAAGCACTCTTGACTTGCCTCTCCAGTTGAAGCAAGCTTCCTAATGGATAGCAAAGCAGGATGCGTCTGCGTTACATCGCAGCAAGTTTTTCCGCGAAATATCCTGCAGAGGTTCAAATCTCTTGGGCCCTTTTTCACTTTTTTTGGAGGTTTTCCTTCATTTGAAAATCGAGGAAAGCGACCACCAGGTGAAATGCAAACTCCATTATCTTTACCTGTATTTAAATGATTTGGTGACTCATTAGTAGAAAAGTAGATGTTAGAGCACAATGCCTTGAGCACCCCATTATCAAAGAAATTATAATCTTTTCACGAATCTACAATCAATCAAAAATTTGACGATATCCTTATTCCCTACAACTATGCTTCAATCTCAAACTAGTTGGGGTCGGCTATACAACAACAACAACCACCCAGTTAATTTCCACAAGTGGGGTCTGGGGAGGGTAGGATGTACACAACCTTACTCCTACACCGGGGTCACTATACAAATCCTCATTATTCATCTCGCTCCATTTAGACCTGTCTCAATCCATATTTTATAACTTAGACTTTCTACATTTGCTATTGACATTTTATTGCTCTAAAAGAAAATAAAAAAGACTCCTCGCCAACATCTGCTTTAAAGTAAGTATTTTTTAAAAAACTTAATTCAAATTAATTGGCATTGCTATATGGATCTTTTTCTTCGATTGTGCATATTTCCAGCTAAGCCTGCATGGGTTACATAGGAGTCAGCTATGAAACTTAACAGAGCAGATTTTCAACAAGGTCCAAATATTCTTCTAGCTCATAGCCATAAAATGCTGCCTAGACTAACTATATCATCAATTCATAAATGTATAGAAGAGTTCAGAGAGGAATTAACAAATTATGCATGCTTTTCTCCTATGTTATAACTAATAGTCTCATAAGGAAGTTGCTACAACAACTGACCTTTATCGTCAAAGAATGTTCTCATATCTGGGTGAGGAAACGAGTAACTTCATATCAAGGTGAGGAAAGGAGTAACTTCAAGAGTCTTTGAGTCCTTTCTTTTGTGACCTCATAGAGAGTCTTAAAGTCCTTAATAAGCAGTTTTTTCCTATATATTTTTATATTTCTATTGAGGTCCAAATAAATTATTTCGAATTCAAACTCGAATGACTAATTTTAGAATGAAGAAGTATTATTAGTCTACCACGATCAGAAAAGGTGCATAAGCTTTACATCCCACAAGGCAAAAATTACAGTAACTTGGCTTTTCTTGAGTTGAGTCTAACAGCCTTTCTATCTTTACAATGTAGGAATAAAGTCTGTGTATACACTAATCTCCTCAGATCCCATTTATATTATTACACTGGGCAGGTTGTTGTTAAGGCAAAAATCTTTGTTTTAGTAGCTTTTTAATGTCTAAAAACACTTCTTTTTTCTTTTTTTCTTTTATGGAAGATTCCTTTATTTACATACCCGCAAAAGAACAAAAAATAGTAGTTGAATACTCTTCAAGGCTGGCTAGCTGGCTTTCTGGCTTTGCTCTAGACATTTTTTTCTTATATGATCATTTTAACGTTTTGTATTAGAAAAGGACAATAATCTGCTTCTTTAACTGTGAAGTTTCTCACGTGACTTCTAACTTTATAAGATATTTTAAAGTAAAAGAAAGTACACTATACATTGAATAATTGAGTCGAGGATGCTTTATGTTAATATTTCTTAAAATCTGTGGCTAACCCAGTGTTAGATTAAGTTTAGAAGTCTAAACTTTTTCCTCTAATCTCTGGTCTAAAATTCTGTGGATGATTTGTATTCCTAAGGCCTGACCATTGTTAAATTCAATAATACTCTCTCAGAGTAGTAATTGAATCATAATAGTGTGGTTTTCTTTTCCACGCGTATAATAAGTTCTTATAATCAATAGTTACCAATTCAAAAAAAATAAGTTCTTATAATCAAGTTACAAAATATATGTTGTGATATCTTTGCTCTTCAGGCTAGTCTGGTATTAAAAGTTTTTGTTGAAATCTCTTGGTAAACTGGAAATTAGAAGGTTAAGAAAAGGAATTGAGCAAGTAGTGTTATAAGCTATGTTGCTCGAACTCTCCGAAAATGTAGCAGGATACGTGTCGGATCCTCCAAAAGTAGTGCATTTTTTAAGGATCCGACACGGGTGCGGCTACATTTTGGAGAATCCGCACAACATAGGTTATAAGCATCATCCCAGTAAAAATAAAGAACCATTTTGGAGGCTAAAAATCAATTTTTGATGTTTCGATAGCTCAGTACAAAACAAATACCTAGATCTTCAGATGATAACAGCAATCTTTTGAGGAACGAGCATATTCATGCCCACGCTCACCCACACCCTTTTCCCAAACCAAATGTGGTTCTAGCAACTTACATAACCCACTAGTGCTTCTTTGAGGACAGCTGAATTGCAGCACTTATATTAAATAAGTTTGGTGATGCTGATATGTTAGCCCCAAATTCCTGCCCAAAAAACCTCCTTATTATCCATTATACAAGATGTGAGGGCATCTCTTAAAATGCACATATATTTTTGGTATCCTTTTCAACAAAAGGTCTTGAATATTTCCTTTGCAAAGCTAAGCACTGTCTTTATTGATGCTTATAACAAGCATCTTACCTAAAAACAGGACATGCGATTCAAATTTCACGTAAATTCTCACTTAAAAGCAATCCAGTTAGCTGAAAATATAACTTCTAACTCGTAGAATGCATTTGCAACCCCTCTCCTCTACCCAACATTTCTGGACATTGTCACAACTACCATTACCCATCTGACCCCAGCATGATGGGAAATTCCCCCTTTATGTGATGCCTTGATCAGGTTTCTACAAGACTTCTTTAACGCCATTAATGAATTATCACATGATCTAGGACCACGATAACAACCACAAAACACTTCCAAACACTAGGCATTTCTTTCTAATTCGCTAATAATAATATGAATGGCATCTAAAGCTTGAATCTTGTGAGTTTGGTGGTTTTGTAGATCACTATAGCGGTATGTCACTTGAGAAAAGAATTTACTATGTTAGCATTCTGATTTGTTTGCTAATGTTCAGACATGTACTTTTTATTTGACTATCATATTCACATGCTAAACCAAATCAAGCTCACACAGTTAAACTATAGATTGAATTTGAGCAAGATACACTATGGGAGGCTCATCCAAGCTTGAGCCCCATATTCCAAGTTCATTCTAGCCCCCGGGCACTTATTAGAGGTGTAATATGAACAGCTAAACACCTGCATCCCTAGTAAACACAAATATACTAGAACGATGAACAACGGAAAAGGAAAAAGGAGTTTCTTTTGGAAAGGAAAAGAGAAGCATTTAATATTTTATTCTATCGAAAAGAAAAGAGAAACATTTATCGAAAAGAAAAGAGTAAAACAGTGATTCAGGGGCGGAAAAGGAGAATCAGTGATAAGAGCGTCAAGATCAGGGGCAGAGTTACCCTTTCCCTGGGGGAGTCAACTGACACACCTTAGCTGAAAAAATAAACTATGTAGATAGGTCAAATTTTGTTTGTGTATATATTATATATTGAATCCCCTTGGCTTCTTTGTGTGTATACTTCTTTATATTTTGGATTCTCTTTGTGAAAATCCTGACTTTGCTACTCGTGAAGATCTTCTTTTCGAGAAACATTCGCACTCTACACTCTACTCAGTTAATACACTTTTACTGACTGATCCACCGCTGTAAACCGGAAGTAAATATATCCAAAATTTTATTAGATTATCTAATGAATCACAACCCAATATAGTTCAATCGGCGAATTAGCTACCTAATTGCTAAAAGAATAAGATTCGCTTGCCACAATCATTCATTTATCTCAGGTTTTCTTAGAGAGTAGAGAACATTAATTCAACAAAATAATCTGAACAAGATTAAATAAAAGGTGAATTTAGGATTTTACATAAAATCATCAATAAGGGGTTTGTTTACAATTTGCACCTAGGGCTAGACTTAATGGTTGTGCACGAGCTAGAAAGAACAGAGGGATGGTACCTGAGACGTACGGTAGTTGAAGGTAAACGGAGGTTGTGAGCAGCAGCATCAACGAGAAACGCCATTTCAATTCCATCCTTCATTCCACTTTTCTCACTTCTCCAATCTTTCCTGTTAAACAGAAGTAAGTCAGTAATTAAGCCAGCGTTTGGCCAAACCGTAAAAAATTGTTTATTTTGAAAAGGAATTTTGTTCAAAAGTATTTTTTGAAAAGTACTTTTATAAAATTGTAGTTTGTGCTTGTCTAATTCGTTTGAATAGTGCTTTTTGTAAGCTCATTGTATTTGGCCAATATTTTAAAAATGTACTTTTATGAATTAAATTACGAAAAAAGACAGTAAAAGTTTAATTTGCGATTAATATTATTTTAAAAAGAAAAATAAATTTAAACATTTATTATAAAAGAATTTACTTAAAATATAAAACGTAAAGTAAACATATAAATTAAAAAACCAAATCAATATAAAATATAGGTTATCCAAAGCAATAACATTGAGTGTTGAGTATTACTAATTATTTATATGATAATTTAAATATATTAAAATACATCATTGAATATAAATTTAAAAATATACTCGTAGAGGAGAAAGAGAATAAAAATATACCAAAAAAAGTAAAGAAATGTATAGTAGAAATAAAAAGAAAGAGAAAAAGGAAAAAAATATTAAATTAATGAGGGATAGTATGAAAAATATAAATTTATTGTAAGGTTATTTTTGTCTTGAATAAATTAATTTTCTGCTTATGTTTCTGCTTCTTAGAAGAAGCTAGAATTTGTAGCTTCTCCCCAAAAGCAGAAAATTGCTTCTGCTACTGCTTGAAAGTACTTTTTCATTTTGGCCAAACACCTTAAATTTTTCGAAAAGTTTGACCTCCCAAAAGCTTGGTCAAACAGGCTCTAAGATCCGGAACTAGTAATACTAACTGGGTTTAACTTGAAACCGTATTAGCTTATTTAACAGATAAGTTGATATAATTGGGGGTATTCAAAGAAAAAATAATTGCGGATATTTTGTTTTACTAACGTATAAGATCTTGCGTTGCTGGTGTTATATCTTTCTGGATTCCTTTGTTGTTACTGATACACTATCTCTTTCCTTCTTGTATCGAGGATCTACCAGAAACAGCCTCTCCACTCCTTCAGAGTAGGGGTAAGGTCTGCGTACACACTACCCTCCCCAGACTCCACTTGTAAAATCTCACTGGGCTGTTGTTGTTGTTGTTGTAACGCATACGATCAATCATTTTCTTTTTTTTAAATGGTAAGTGAGCATACAAATTATTTTCCTATGCATAATCATCTATAAATAAAATTAGTAATATGAAAAGAAAAATAAGACAGTTACCTATTACTATAACATATATATATATATATATATATATATATTAAAATAAATGATAGTGTAAAGATCTGATAGCCAAAGTTTCAATATATATAAGTTAGAGGAAATATCCATTAAACCAAGTAAACGTGTTAAGCTTTCCCGGGCGCCACAATTGATCTCTATTAATGTGGAAACATGTCTCATCGCTCTTTGTATGCATTGGAAGACCCTTTCTTAGTCTTATAGAAATAAAATTTACATAGTCATAAAATAGCTACTAGTATATATTGAAACTTAGGAAAAAACGTTGTCACTCTCTAATATGTTACCCCAAGGATCAAGACCACTGTCAGAAACTTTGTTACATGTATTCTGATCAACAAGTACCCAAAGTCTGTAGCTTTGGCTGGCGGAAATGCTGCATAGATTGGGTCGCGTTTTTCTGTTTCTGCACGAAGTTAAACTCAACCTCATTAATAACATATCAACTTAGCTAATACACATTAATTATGTTTAGGTTTAAATAATCAATTAGTGACCAGTCAATATAAAGTGATAAACAACATCCAAACTACTGTTAAAGTAGTACTATTAATTATTAGTCATATGACCGTCAGACTAATTTCTTACTTGGACTCAAGTTACTTGGTATGGATGGAAGAAGAGTAAAAGTAATGTATAATTCATTCTCTACGTCTAGTTTTAGAAAGACTGAAAGTCGGCATGAAGAAGTATCCAACTCCTTTACTATACATGTTACATCCTTTGTATTCCCTAACTAAAAACAACCCTTATCCCTCCATATTTAATTCCACTCTTAGAACTTCTCTTTACACTCAACAAAACGAAGCTTTACATATAACGACATACAATGCTGTGAAGCACCAAGGGGATTCCAGCAAGTACCTAAATCAATGACTGATTCCTCTCCCTACGACAGAAATGTACAAGGTCAGGCGCAAATTTTCTTAGACTGCCGCAGAATTGACCCTTGGGACTTCCAGCCTCATGTCGCTCATCATTTTTAGGAACTGAAATTCCATGCTGAACTAAAGTTTCAAAACATCTTCTGCCACACTGCTCTTCAAATTTTGAAAAGTAAAACATCTTCATGGAGTGAATCGTTCTTGATAGCAAACACCGTTTGCTTTTAAAACAGAAGCCAAACTACATAGTAAGGAATATGATTCTGACTAATATGTACATCTGAACAATTTGGGAGGCTAAACAAAAGCAGGTCAAATTGACTCCATCCTTGTATCATTCATCAGGAGAACCATCTTTAAAAATTGTGAGAGGGCCACTAATTTAAAGCAAATTGCGGTAATTAGTGAACTGCTTTCCTTGAGGAAAACCTTGAGAAGAACGTTAGTCAAGTGATTAATCGTGTTTTGTAATCGCAATGTCATCTGCCAGTAGGGAAACTCCAGGGAACATGATGAGCGAGATAACAACTTCCATAAGAGGGAGATGTCATTCTGTCATTGCAACAGTGTGCATCTGACTTGTCCTTCCTTCTCTTGTGCTGGACGATGGACGCAGCAGTTGATTTTGGTCATGGTATTAAGAAATAGAATCCAAAAGGTCTCTTGCTGACCTACCTCAATTTATCCTTTACCCTCTCTGTTCAAATGCTGAAGCACCAAATCATCTTAGGTACTAACCAGCTCAATTCTTTCCCTTGGTCACATTTACCCTCACTATAGCTCTTACGGTTTGGAAAGCAAATTGCCAACGGCGAAGTTATAGCTTTTTCCTCCTATTTCAATCCGACTGCAACCAATTTCTTTTTGCAAGCCTAACTCCTTCATCTTTTGCCTCAATTGTCTAACAGAATCCCAGTCCCCATATCTAGCAAAAAAATTGGATACTAAAACATATATTTCTGCTCTTTTTGGCTCTAATTCCAGTAACTTCTCAGCACATTTCTTCCCAAGATTTAAGTGGGCATGAACCATAGATGACCTGAGCAACGAGCTCCAAATTTGAGTATCTGGCAGCATAGGCATCTCAGCCATAAGATTTAAGGCATCATCAAACTGTCCAGCACGACCCAGCATGTCAATTACACATGCATAATGTTCCAATTCAGGTTTTAGACCATGGACCTGCATCTCTCTAACATATTGTCGACCTTCTTCAATGAGCCCGGCATGGTTACATGCCATTAAAATAGAGACGTATGTCAAGCTCGTCGGCGTGAAGCCCGATTTTTGCATTTCCTGAAATAGCTTGATGGCCTCCATTCCAAGTCCATGAACTGCATATCCTGTAATCATAGCTGTCCATGATGCTATATCTTTGACCGGAATATGGTCAAAGACATACTTGGACATCCCTATGAATCCAGATTTAGCATACATGTCTATGATTGAGCAATGGACAAAAGTATCCTCTATAAGGTGAGTTTTTAGTGCAAAGCAGTGAACTTCTTTCCCCAGCTTGACAGCAGACAATGTTGAACAAGCCCCCAAGACACTTGTAACAGAAATTTCTTCAGGTTGGAATCTAAGAGATACCATATCACGAAACAAAAATAAGGCTTTATCCGGTAGTGCATTCTGCAAGTAACCAGCTATCATCACATTCCAGGATACAATATTTTTGTCTTCTATCCTGTCAAATAGAAGTTGTGCCAGTTCAGGTTTTCCACAATTCATGTAAAATGAAACTAGGGAAACCCCTGTAGACATATCTGTTTCTAGACCATTTCTAAGCACAAAACCATGAATTTGTGTACCACACAGTAGCTGTTTTAAGTGGGAACAAGCAAAAAGAAGGCTACCGATAGTGAACCAGTCAGGAAGCAAACCAGAACCCATAATTTCAGAGGACAGAGTCAAAGCCTTGGATGGATCATCGCTCTGAGCATAGCCACTTATCAGTGCATTCCAAGAGCTTACTGTCTTATTTGCCACTCCACAGAATACAAGCTCAGCATATCTGAGCAATCCACACTTTGCATAGGCGGCTATAAAAGCATTTGTTAATAACTCATGGTATTCAAGACCATTTCTAAGCGAGTAGCCATGCAGTTCTTTCACTANAACTTCCGACAAGGTTTTGGATTCGGAGAGTTGCGCAATCTCTTCGGACAGTGTTAATGGATTCTTAATCTGATTCTCTAAAAGGTGTGTTATAGTTATAGAACCTTCATCAGGTGTTGGAGTACAAACCGAACCTGCCGATTTTGGAAGAGAGGTAGTTGCAAAAGTGCCTTTGTTGATTTTTGGACGGAAAATGACGGTCTGAAAATGGGGCTGTCGATGGCGTTGGTGGCGACAGCATGAGATCGGCGACGGCGGCGCCAGAGCCATGGGGAAGCTCGCCAGTGTGAACATCAAACGCGCATAGTAAGGCTAAGTCTTCGCATCCCTTATCCTATTCCAATTTAATTTTATAGCAGGAATAGTAAGTATATGGGCATTGTAGTTTCTATAAATTCAATCTTATTCAGTAAAATCTTATCCAAACTTATATAGTCTCATAGGTAACAAAAAAAAAGTTTTTGATTTCCCACTCGGAATTCGGTATTCATAGAATTCGACTATTTCTGGATTCACGCCGAATAGGGCCTCATTCGAGGTAGCGCTCCCTCCCAAGAATTTTTTCATACCAGAGCTCGAACTCGAGACGTCTGGTTAACGGATTAGCAACCCCGTCCATTACACCACATCCTTTGGTGGTATAGGTAAAAATTAAATAAATAAAAAAAATACGTATTGTCACGTAACAGAAAGTCAACTTTCAGTCAATTCTCGTACTACTTCATAGAAAAGAACTTTTTATTGCAAATGAACCCAAAATTTTCCGGCTAGCCGGCCGAATTGACTTTGCCTTAGCAGTAAACTAGTAGGGGAAGCCCGTGCTACGCCCGGGCCCAACATAATATTATGCCAAATAAAGTAAAATTATAGAGAATCGTTAATGTTCAAACTAAATACAGCACCTGTATCAAATCTAACAAATTGCAAAGAAACATGATATGAAGAGCTAATTTACACAAAGATTTAACAGTTTTGAGGTTACACCTGCAGTAAAAGTAACAGTTTAAAAGTCAGAAAACATAAGAAAACTTATGGCGGAATATCTGGCAGTTTTTTAACAATATGGGTAAAAGCACGTCAGAAGAGTTTATTCAGAGGAAGATTTATCAATTAGATTGACTTTATTTGAATGTTCTTATAGGATGGTTGAATTTTGAAAGGCAAATGGCGAAAAATTAATTTGATTGAGCATATATCAATTCAAAACCTCAGTTAGAATCCCTCTAGCTAGCAAATAATTCATATAGATATACAATATGCATGCATTTATCGGATAGAATAAGATCAATTCAGTTCAGCACACCAATAAAACTTGAGGAGCATCTGGGAATATATACAAAATCAATTTTCCAATGCAGAGGTTTTTCTATAGTGTGACATATGGATTCACGTGAATTCGATAGCATATATATACACACTAAATACAATCTTGATCAGAGCAAGTTTACAGAATCTTATTCATCTTACTTAATATGTACTCAATGCCTTCCTGTTATTTCAGAAATATTTGGACAAAAGGAGCATTACACAACACTTTTGCATTAAGAATTTAATGATTAACTTGTTAGCATAAGTACACACCTTTGGGAGTAATTCATTTTCAGTAGTGAAGATTCCATGTTTCTCGAGTTACTTCACAATATAGTTGGTAGTGAACTGTATTTTTAGCCAGAAGATCAATAGTCAGTAAAAATCGCTAACATGACGCACACAACTCTTTTGGCCTTTTAGTTAAAGATGTCCATCAACCAAGAGAGGCGCTTTCATGAAATAGTTCAAGTCCATTTATTTCTAGTTAGTTATTTTCATCGGATAACGTTAACAATTACTTGCTTAAGTTACCTTATTACCCACATTAAGCATCCAAGTTGATTGAGCACAAGATATAGTAGCAAACTTTAATATATTTATACCATGTGCAGAAGGCACAAATATATTATCTGCTAAAACCATCTTCAAGTAGTAGACACATAGTACCCCAAAATATAAACATTGTTTGTATCTTTAAGTACAGCACAAGCATATCCTCACCTATCTTCAGTAATGAGATAGAGTTAAACTCCCAAGCCTAGTAGTCATTTTTTTGCATTCCAAAAATCATAGCATAGGGAGATTTTGATGTACTCTGAAATAGAAGATAAATAACAGTCAATTAAAGAAACTGGAGTTGAGAGAAGTAGAAAAATAAAATCAAAGCTCATAGCAAGATCTTTAGCGAGGATAGACACCCACAGGTATAGCAAGATCTTTAGGAGGATAGACACCCGCAGGTATCTTGAAATTCAGTTCCTTCAACAGAGTGTTAGTCCGTATACAAAAGAGCAGTGCATACATAGAGTTGGCGAAAATTTAGGAAAACACATATCTAAAATATTGCCATTTGCATAAATTGGGCTGGAGATTGCCAAAGTAGTACAGTTGACATTTGTGGAGGTTAATGGTATACTATATGACAGGGTTTTTTCTAAGACCTACAAAGTATCACACTTTGGTGAAAATTCACGGAGTTATGCTAAACATAAGTACAGTAACAAAGAAAAACATTGGAAGAAATCGAAAGGTGCATGCAATACAGTTGATGGATGTCGCAGTTAGAATTTGTTAATTGATCTAAGTGGGAGAATTATTTATCTAGACTCCAAATGGCTTAGGAAATTAGCATGCTCTAAAATCACATATTTCAAACAATCAAGAACATATATGTCTTGTGGTAAAACAAAACTACAAAAGAACATATGGGAATCTTCTTTGGTAAAATATTTGTGCAGAAAATTGTAGAAGAGGATAAACTTTTTAAAGACTTCCTAAATGCTTGAAGTATCAGTGTAATGAAAGCACAAAAAAATGACAGTTGATTTAGCATATCTACTAAAGATTTCATCTTTCTTCATTTTAAAAGGTGGCATGGAATAATCTGCGTGATCTTAGGAACATGTTGCAGTAGTTCCTTTACCAAATTCCAGAATATGAAGTACACATCAGTGTAACCCAAATCAACATTGCATTCACACGTAATAGCAGAGGCCGAAAGATAAAACACATTATCGAAATAACACTCTCATCTACCATAACGACACTTCAAATACTAACATTTTATAAATCTCAGAACTCATAGAAATAAGAAACGTCAAATTTAAGTAGATGAAAATATCTACTTAGATCAATTAATCTTATGTGGTTAAGGCGAAAGTTATTTATAGGAATTTATCGGAAAGTGGTAAATTGTTCTATCTGTAAATCTGGAACATTGAGGCAGCAAAACCAGTGCATGATCGTTCACCACTATCCAGGGAGACAATACCATTCATATCAGGATGCCAAAAAGTATTTTGTGCAGTAACGCAAAAGCCCAAATCCCAAAATAAGTTGCTACTTCCTATTAGGAGCGGATTTACCCTTGTCGAAGCGGTGTCTATATATAAGTAATATGCAAAAGAAAAAAGGCGTACAAGTAAAATAAAATGACAAAACTTAGTCAAAGCAACATAGTTAGTTCACTAGTAAATTCCCTAAAATTTAAGGCAGTGGTCATCGGTTCAAGGCTTTTGCAACTTCATTTTTGAGCAATATGGTTTCCGTTTTTCCAAAAGCATCACATTTTACTAATTAGAGAATAGATGTCATGGTCGATCTTCGCTTTCAGTTTTAGAATTGCATTGTGATGTCCGAGATCATGATAAAAGTTTTTCAAGTCTTAGGGAACTTGGTAATCTTTCCATAAAACTAGTGGAGACAAAAAAGCATGTGACTTTTCTTCTTTGTTTTTCAACTAAAAAAATTTGCTTTGCTTTTGCCAATTACTACCGCTACAGAGAGCTTTTTCGGCAATGAAGTTGATTAAGACCGATTTGCAGAGTTGAATGGATGATGAGTTTTTCAGTAGCTGTTTGGTGCCTTACATAGAAAATGATGTATTTAGTCTTATTCCTAATGAGGTTATGAATACCTTTCAAAATATATAACTCATCTAGGAGAGTTATAGTAAGGTACTTTTAAAAAAATAAATGATGTCGTTACTATATTTGTTTCTTTGTCTACTTCTTTAAATGTCGACACCACTTATGAAAAATCCTGCGTATGCCCCTACTTCCTATTCGCAGGTAGAAGTGGGAGGAAATAAGCAAATGTAAGCAACATTATGTTTGAATCAAAGAAATTTAGAATCTATGAGAAAGAATCAAATCTCAAGTACAGATATGCAACGCAACGAGACATGCCTTTTACTTTCTTTTTGATGGTGTGGATGGTTCTAATTTCAGCTCGACATGGGAATAGTCAGATTCCACAACTGTTGTTTCCGTTTCTATTTCAGTTTACCCGAGAGGTTTAACCTTCTTTTTGTTCCTCTCACCAATGCTGGGTTGAAAGATGTGCTCTTTTTCGACATAGGATAAAACGGATAGACTTGCATGCATGCTGCTATAACCATTCCAGGATGATTTTCTCAAATTCTGTCTGAAAGCATGTTTTGGACATGCTTAATGGGCAAGAGTTGCCTCTGGAAGTAGAAGAAGTCAATCCTTAGGTCTAAATTTTAGTTATTACTTCATCACTCATAGCTTTTGGTTCGATTTCCAAAATTTTCATTTACTTTTTCTTTTCACCTCTTCCGTACCTGTGATTTAGGGTTAATTTTTTCGTTTTTCTTTATTTGTTCTTTTTATTGCACTAATTCCTTGGCGATGAATTTTGATGGATATCTGCTAATTAGTTTTTCTCTTATTTTAAAAAATTATGGTTCATGTTTTACGTGCATATCACTATTTTTACCTCTTTTCTTCACATAGATGTATGAAAATAAATACTTAGGTGCATGGTGTGTTATGTCAATTAGACTCAGAGACACACTCATCCATAAATATAAAAATAGACAAACTTTTTGAGTTTTTTCCTTCGATTGTATCTGCAAAGAATTAGTACAATCTTTATTGCATGACTTAGTACTAAGCAAAACTTTGTAGCTCTAAAATGTAATGTTTAATAAAGCTCATACCAGAGACAATATGGAACTTACAAGTTACAACTGAGAAATTTACAAGTTTAAAAAGAAATCCCGAACTAAAGTTAAATCTTGACTGAGACTGCCAACTTCAAAAGAAGAGAGAAAGCAAGCCGGAAACTTCTAACTCCATTATCGGACAGAATGCCTTCCTCTGATTCCTGGAATGAGAGTGCCAGACTATAAGGACAAACAATCAACAAGAAGTAGAGAACCTGGGTGGGGTTATTTGTCAGAAAGAATCCGTTTTTCCTCCTTAACAGGCTATGCCGGTTGTATCCTCAGATTTAGTAGCTTCTACAAATAGTGAGGACTGAAGAAAGCAAGACACAGAGCAGTTCGTAGAAGCAACTATCAAAAGATATACAAATACTAACCTGCATGTAAAAGATCCAACAGGAAAAATTCAAAATATGAAAAAAAACCAAATCAGATCTATCAAAATCATATCATCAAAAAAATGATTGCAAGAAAGAAAGAAGGAGAGTGAAGTAAAATCTAGCAGAAATTTACAAGTACAATAGTTAGCTTATACAGTTTCACAATTTAAAAGATTGAAGAACAAAAAAAGCAGAAGAGGGTTGAGAGACTCACTGAAAGATGATCTGCAAGTTGTGAAGTACAGCTATAGATTATAATAAATATAAGTGTAATATACATCATTTGCTAAAAGTAGGTGCCACACGTGTCCCTCTTAGCAGACATGCAATTTATACTTAATTTACATCTAAGCTCTAAAGTGGCAGACGCTCTAAGTCTAAAGTGGCAGACACTCACAAATAAAGAGGGTCTTCTAATTGTAAATTGTGAAGTAATGCCATAGATTTATAGTTAAATAACTGTAAGTGCAGTACATATCATTTGCTTAAAGTAGGTGGCACACGTGTTTCTCCTAGAAGACATGCAGAATTATCTATTTATACTTAATTTACACTTAACCTCTAAAGTGCCATTTCTAAATACGTAGTGAAGAAAATCCTAAATGTATCCGAAGTCCGAACAACGTTCGTACACCTAAAGTGTCGTTTCTAAATAGTAGTAAAACCTTGGAGAAGTATGTAGAAGTTGTAGTTTGTGTATGGACAATTTTTAAGGACTGGTTCGGCCATAGATTTTGCCAAAATTTATTTGGGTTTGTTTTTTGGTAAATACATATTTGTTCATAAAATTTATCCATATTTTGGCAAATTCCCAAAACCCAAAGAGTTGGTTTTGGCCCAAAATATTACTATTATATTTTTTAAAAAATTATCCCAAACTTTTATATTTTATAAAAGAGCCCACGATTTATTATTTTATAATAATATTGTTTAGTCTTCTCGGTCATCTGATAGTGTATTATGTAGTTCAGTATAAAAATGATAATTTTGTACCAAATTTATTTATGTTCAGGACTATGGTTTGCGATAATATAATGAATGTTATTGATGAAGGTACGGTTGGGTATTTGTGATAGTTTTTAGAACTTGTGGGTATACATCATGTTTTATGTTTTTTCAAACAAAAAAGTGAAATATGTTTTGAAAACTGATATCCAAACACATTTTCATCTTCAAATCAAACTTCATCCAAATTAAATTTTTCAAAACAAATTTGAAAATTTATAGCCAAACGCTAGCTTAGTATTCCTAAAATACTTACAATCTTCTTCTTAATTCAACTCTATGTTAATTCAATTTACCAAGTAGCTATGAGTTTAAACTATGTAATGTCGTAGAGTGGAGGGCCAAATAACGGTAAATTTAAGCTTTGTAAGTTTAATATTCTTTATATGGGATCTATACAGCCTTGGTAATAGATGCACTGACACACCATATTCAAGGGGATGTGCCATGGTGTATGTTATTTGTTGATGACATAGTCCTAATTGATGAGACGAGGGTCAGTGTTAACGAGAGGTTGGAAGTTTGAAGACAGACCCTCGAGTCTAAGGGTTTCAAATTGAGCAGGTCTAAGACGGAGTACCTGAAGTGCAAGTTTAGCGTTGAGTCGAGGGAAGTAGGCAGGGACGTGATGCTTGGATCACAGGTCATCCCCAAGATAGATAGCTTCAAGTACCTTGGGTCGATAATTTAGGGAGACGGAGAGATCGACGAGGACGTCACTCACCGTATAGGAGCGGGCTGGATAAAATGGAGGCTTGCATCTGGAGTCTTGTGTGACAAGAAAGTGCCACCGATACTCAAAGGTAAGTTTTATAGAGTTGTGGTTAGACCGACCATGTTGTATGGGCTAGAGTGTTGGCCGGTTAACAACTCCCATATCTAGAGGATGAAGGTAGTAGAGATAAGGGTGTTGAGGTGGATGTACGGGCACATTAGGATAGACAACATTAGGAATGAAGATATTCGGAGAAAGGTGGGCATGACACATGTAGATGACAAGATGCGGAAAGCGAGACTCAGATGATTTGGGCACGTGCGGAGGAGAATCCTTGATGCTCCGGTGAGGAGGTGTGAGCGGTTGGCCGTGATGGGTACGAGAAGAGGTAGAGGGAGGCCTAAGAAGTATTAGGGAGAGGTGATTAGGCAGGATATGGTACGATTGTAGATTTTCGAGGACATGACCCTTGTAAGGAAGGTCTGGAGGTTAAGCATTAGGGTTGTAGGTTAGGGGGTAGTAGAGTTTACCTTACTTCATACCCGGGGTGAGGCGGGGTTGGATTAAGGTTGATCTTAGATGGCTTGCAGTTTATGTTGAGCCCTCACTATCCTTGTTGTTTATCTTAGCCCTAGGTCTTGGATATTGGTTACTGTTGTTGCACGTCATTTATCTTTTGGTTGTTATGCTTCTGTTACTATTACGATTTCTACTGGAGTTACTAATGAATTGTCTTTTCTTGTTTTATTTTCGTCTTTCTGAGCCGAGGGTCTATCGAAAATAGTCTCTCTACCCTATCGGGGTAAGGGTAAGGTCTGCGTACACATTACCCTCCCAAATCCCACAAAACTAGGTAGTTGTTGTTGTTGTTGTTGTTGTTGTTATATGGGATCTATACACAAATAGCTATTTGGATTCATCATTTACTTTTTCTAATCAGTATATATAAATTATGAATTGATTATACATGATTATACAAATATTATATATGAATTATACATATATTATATATCCTTCTGTTATTTTTAGTTTAAGTGGATGATTAAGCGGCTAGTTGGGTTAATTTTTCTCTTTAATATATTTATATGTAGAAGTGAAGTTCAAGAATCTTTATAAGTACAAAACAAAAGGTAACTAATTTTTAGTTCAAGAAAGTAGTAGTTAGTAAAATTTATAAAAGAGCGTAGTCCTTGAGGCCATCTCCAACCTTACCCTATTTTCTCATAATGGGGGCAATTTTTGAGTAATGAAGTTTCAACCTTCCCCCATTTTGCCTCCAAAATGGGGGATGAATAGTGTTCCCTCAAATATGGGGTACACTATTCATCTCTCCCATTACTATTCATGTATATTTTATTATTATTTTATTATTTAATCTTTTAATTTATCTCTTTATATATACCTAATTATGTTTATGTAATATCTTTATAATATTAATTTTACATTTTAACTTTGGCGTATAATTTTGATAAATTAATTTTCGTGCATTTATTATTTTTATGTAAAATTGTAAGTTAATTTTATTATAAGTTATAATTGTACAAAAAATATATAATCATCTCAAAAAATGAATGGTACAAATATAAAATATTAGATGTCGCTAAAATTGAAATTAAAGGTGCGAATATAAAATATTAGATGTTGCTAAAATTAAAAAGTGAAAATTGAAAATACATTAAATGAAAATACACTAAAATTGGAAATACATGACATTTGAAAATACATTAAATTAAAATACATAAAAATTGAAACTACGGTAAATAGCATAATAAAAATTGAAAATCAATGATTTCAAGAATTTTTAGCTCTACATAGAAGAATTAAGGACAAAGATGCTTATTTTGCACTTCGTAATGCATTAATAGATCATTTATGGGAGAATACTAGAGGTTGAAGTTGAATATTTATGTAGTATTTCGAATGAATTTTATCGTTATGTAATATGTATTTAATTAATCTTGTATAGCAATGATTTCACTTTTATTTGAATTATTAGTTAATCTATAATAATTGCTTACAAATTATAAAATTTTATGAAATTGTTTTAATGGAAATTATAAATTAATGAAAAAATAAAAGATGAAATTTGTTTAATGAAAATTAAAAAATAAAATTGAAATAAAAAATAATAATATAATATAAAAGAGAGAGAAGAATATAAAAAAATTTGGGAAAAAAAATGGGGGAATGGTTGGAATAAGTTGTCTCCCCACTGGGGAACCAAAAATGGGGTAAAGGTTGAGATGGCTAAAGCATTAGACAATTCCTGAAAACATATATATTAACCTTTGTCGTCTTCTCAGGGAAGAAGGAGAGCAGGCCCTAGGTGGTGATTGTGGTTTTCTCCCTTTTTTTTTCCTTCAACGTGAAGCGGGGAGATGGGAAGATGGTTATCTTTCGTCATGCTATGAAAGCTTTCTAGCTTCTATTAATTCACAAAGATGTGCTTGAATTGGTACCCAACTTGTTATACCATAAAACCGAGCTCTACCTGTATGCATAAAGCTTGGGCCTTATTGAAGCAACAATAGTTTCGGTTATGATGGGGTTTTCTTGGCGATGTACGCATTGACGAGACACATTCAAGGTGAGGTGTCATGGTGTATGTTATTTCCTGATGACATAGTTTTAATTGACGAGATGCGAGGTGATGTTAACAAGAGGCTGGAGGTTTGGAGGCAAACCTAGAGTCTTGAGGGTTTCAAGTTGAGCATGACAAGACGGAATACTTGGAGTACAAGTTCAGCAAACGGTACCCAAGAAGGAGATATGAAGGTGAGACTTGATACGCAAGTCATCCCCAAGAGAGGTAGTTTCAAGTATCTTGGATCTATAATACAAGGTAAAGGGAAATTGATAAAGATGTCACGCATCGTATCGGAGCAGGATGCATGAATTGGAGGTTCGCTTTCGGTGTATATTGTGATAAGAATGTGCCACTGAGACTTAAAGGTAAGTTCTAAAAGGTTGTAATTAGACCGACTATATTGTATGGAGCAGAGTGTTGGTCAGTCAAGAACTCTCGTACCCAGAAGCTAAAAGAAGAACTCTCATACCCCAGAAGCTAAAAGTAGCTGAGATGAGGATGTTGAAGTAGATGTGTGGGCATAACTGGTTGGATAAGATTAGGAATGAAGTTATTCGGGAAAAGGTAGTAGTGGCCTCTGTGGAGGATAAGATGCAAGAGGCAAGGTTGAGATGGTTCGGGCATGTTAAAAGGAGAAGTATAGAAGCCCCAGTTAGAAGGTGTGAGCGGTTAGCCTCGATAGGTAGCAGAAGGGGGTAGAGGTAGGGCTAAGAAGTCTTGGGGAGAGGTTATTATGCGGGACATGGCGCAACTAGAGTTGACTGAGGACATGGCCCTAGACAGGAGGGTGTGGAGGTCAAAGATTAGGGTAGAAGGTTCGTAGTAGCGAGCGTTTCTCTTTGTCTTAATCAGTTCGCTAGCATTAGTGTTTATATGATATCTTTTATTTATAGATGGTTAGTACTGTCTAGAATTTAACTGCATTCTTGGATTCGATCTTATTTTATCTTGTTGTTATTCCTAGTTGTTGCAATTACCTTTTTTTCCGTCGTTCTCTAACTGAGGGTATATCGAAAACAACCTTTCTGCCCTCCCATGAATAAGGGTAAGGTTGCGTACATCATACCCTCCCAGACCCGCTTGTGGGAAACTACTGGGTATGTTGTTATTGTTATTGTAATAGTTCGCATCCCAAAAGAAAGAGTTGGAAAAAGAGATAATGAGAATAATCCACTACTAAAATCGTAATACATCTGTATTTTACACATGGCCGTTGGCACCCCATGGATCTGTCTGTACGGAGATGATGAATCATACGGAACAGGAATTACAAAGTGGAACCTTTTCGAAGTTACAGTAGTTATAACAGAATGTCAAGATACCAATTCGAGTGGTATCTCCATACCCTTATATGTGATAATGAATTTGAAAGTTGATACCAAGAAACTGCTCAACCTGAATTCAAATCAGCAAGAGCTCATATATTTGAACCTGCAATCACTGTAACTTTTAGTAAATAAATCAAATATTAATTTTTTACAAGAATCAAATACTCCTATTTTACCACTATCGACTTTAAGGAAGCAATTTCTTTTGAGGAAATTCAATCTATTTTTTACCACCTATCCATTTGTTTTACTTTCTCACAAACCCAAAACCTAAAACTAAAACAAATCGAAAGTTCTATACTAAATACAAGGAAAAGAGGCAATTACCTGATCTTTTACTTTCTGAAAGGAAGCAGAGAACTAATGTTCCCAAATTCCGCATCCCCAACAAAAAGTAAGATCCATGTATGAATGTTTTGCTCCAGCAAATAATAAAATGAGATATTTCTGATGCAACAGTGTGCATCATTTTGACTTTATAAGGAACTGAGGCAATCTTTTATCAACATAAACAAAGGATTGGTGTAAGCGGCTCCTCCTAGTTTCTCAAACATGACCCCGTCCATACGGGCTTGGATTCCATCAGATGATGCCACATCATTTAGCAACTCTTTTAAAGTTCTATCTGCTCCGGCTAAAGAGCTCCCTATGCCGCTTAAAACTTCCGGTAAGGATGCGGATGGCCTTGACAGCTCAACAACAGAAACCTGCAGTTTTAACAACTTATTAGGAAGACTAAGAAATTCATCTCCATTACATCAAAGTGATAGAGAAAGAGACGACAGTACAAATAAAAAAGGAGGAAATTAACTCACGAGATAGTTTCTACTCTTCAAAAAACATTTTTGCTTTTCCAGTCAAAGTTTCTCACCTCTTACTACATTTTCAGTTACTAATAGTAGAAAGCAGCTTCCAAGCTTTGTTAGGTATTAGTAACATTAAGTTAGTTGGCCATCAAACATCATCATGTATTTCTTTTTATTTTATTTTATAAGTGAGCATTTTATAAACAAAAGAAGCAGAAAGAATGTGCAGTGGTCACATCATGATCCTTACAAGTATTTCAAATTCCATATCCAGGAATCTTCCAAAAACTCAGTTCCTACATCATCATGTATTTCTTTTTTCTGAATAAAACACAAAGGGATGAGTACCATACATGGTTCACATCTGACTAATGAAAACAATAACTATTGTTTAGATTTCCAAAAAATGCTATCATTAAACCCATTATAATTTGGCAACAATGAAAGGTGGCTCAGAGTGCACAAAAACAAAGCTAAATCTGCTGCTTGACAGCAGCACACATTAAAGTATCTTGCAAGAAAGTCAGAGCAGACCGCGTCTACGATGTAGTGAGCCTTTGTCAAGCTATTCCCTTTTGCTACAATTTGACTTCTTTTTATCTCAAAGTTGTGGCAATTATTGATGAAAGAAGCAACTGAGATGATCTAGAACCCGGTTTTGGCAGGAAAATTCACCAGCTCTCTATTAGAAGATCAAGAGATTCAGATCCTGAGGTTCCCAAGAGAGTTCCAGAATTTAACTAGAATGACAGTTGACAAAGATCCAAGCATAAACTGAAATATAGACTTGAGAATCATGCTTCAGAAAGCACAGCACTACAATCTATGTGCTCAAACTTGAAATAGCTGTTTTTAACAGCAAAATAAGATTTGCTTATGCCGCACCTGTTTTTCCTGAGGTATATTGGCCTTCTGTTTTGCAATTGCGACAGCACGAGAGAGACCACCGATAGCATCAACTAGACCTCGTGAAAGAGCATCATTTCCAGTCCAGACTCTCCCTTGTGCAACCTCCTCCATTTTCTCCACCTAAAATGCAGTGCTTCGTATTTTCAATCAACTGATAAGTAAAGTAATGACTGTTCCATTCTAAGCTGTACTCTTCACCAGTAGCATACCGTCATTGATCTTGAAAGGGCAGCCTTGTCCCGGAATTGGGTATATGCATGCTGTGCAGATTTGGCAAACAGCTCTGCTTCCTCAGGCCTGCAGATGAAATTCTATCTGATAATATACTAAATCAAAATACAAGACAGAATTGGGTATATGCATGCTGTGCAGATTTGGCAAACAGCTCTGCTTCCTCAGGCCTGCAGATGAAATTCTATCTGATAATATACTAAATCAAAATACAAGACAGAATTGGGTATATGCATGCTGTGCAGATTTGGCAAACAGCTCTGCTTCCTCAGGCCTGCAGATGAAATTCTATCTGATAATATACTAAATCAAAATACAAGACAGAAGTTGGATTTCCACTTGTAGGCATTTAAAACAGCAGCTAAGCTCAAAATCCACTAAGTACAGAAGTGGAAGTTCTGATTTTGGTGTTCTGCGTAAGTACAGAAGCTATCCTACTTTTTACGAGCAAACTTCAGCTGGCTTATAGAGGCCCCAAAAATGAAGCAGTAAGAACAGAATGATGTAACGTGAAATTCACGACTTAAGGTTATGTTCTTATAAAATGGGGTTCAAGGTGTAATGGACCACCCAGTGACATGTATAACCTCAAGGAAGACGGAAAAATTTCACCTGAATGGTCGTTGTTCAGCCGCAGTAAGCTCTGCATATCTTCCCCTTGATATTATCTCCTTATTGAAGCCAATTTTTTCATATAAGTTTCCCAAGTTGAATTTTCCTGCCAAAAACATGTAATTTTAACATATTGAATCTGATTAAAATATTTGCACGGGGATATATGTGAAATGGGAGTCCTAGCTCATAAAGCCAATTCCACTATGGAAGACCTCGTACAAGTACATTTTGTGAATATTAAGGACCAACGAAACTAAATACAAGGGGGCATGAAATGGCAGAACGAAAGACTTCCAGAACAGCATGGATATCAAAGGAAAACCCAGAGGAACCAAGGAACGGAAAAATTGAAACTATAAAGGATTGACACTCGTGTGGAAGCAAATACATGGACCGGCATAATTGCCTCTCCCACAGGCCAAAATCTTGGAGGTTTCATCAAGACACACATCAACTCGACCCAATCTCCACTACTTGCAGGCACACCCACCCACCCACCTGCACACACACACACACCAAAGAGAGTTGTCATCCCAATTTTACTACTATCAGTTCAAGCTCAAATTGTCAGTGTTCTAAAGAATTGGGAGCAACGGGTGGGTGAATGACCGAGTTGGGATAAGGGAAGGGGAGGGCCTAGTGAAGAGATAGAATGCAAGGGCTCTAGCCTCTACCTGTGAACTACCATCTCTAACTACATAACCTATCTGTAAGATACAATTTATCCTCCGTCTTATATTTTGGTTATTCATGTTATTTTGTGGAAAAAATCATTAATTTCCACATCAGGCTTGTTATATGGACAAAGCACTAACATAGCCTCAACCCGAAAGATATTCAATTCTATAGTTGGACTTAACTCCAAATACTTTCTCCAAATAAAAGCTTGGAAAAAATTCGGCTATTCCATTCAATATAGAACTGTCTAGTTACACTTCAATATATTCTGAGATGGTAAGTAATGGAACTAAATTTGGTATACATTGTGAAAGACAGACTGTTGGGACAATTAAAGGAACCTTGCCCCCTCACAATCCAGTTCTATGGACTAATCTGGAGGGCATAAAAAGAATATCTGTACAATCAACCTTGTAAGAGCACCAAATGCGATACAAGAACATACAGTTCAGGCATGTGCGCTGAGTTTTCGTAGTAGTTGGGACTGATTACTCCTATGGACGGCATTCAAAGAGAGACATTTTGATTTTGATTTATCCTCTGGTGAAGATGGTATAAGAAAGAGCTTGGAATTAGACAAGATCCGCTTATGCAAGGAATCATTGACCAATCATGCATTCTAGCAAAGCAGCACAAAGGCTTCAAACAAGTTGTACCACACAAGGAAAAACACCTGGCATTCAAGATCGAGATTTTCCCCCCTCAATATCTTCCTTTAAAAGGTAAAAGAGTGTGGAAAGTTCAACTGGGTCTAACATGAGTAGAAACCTTCATCAATTTGGAGATATAAATAAATCTGGTCAATCAATTACCAATCCATGCTTCTGCACCTTAAGTGTATCCCTCAGCTCACAGACAGGTGAACGTTTTACTTTTTACTTTTTTTCTTTTGATAACGTAAAAGTTTATTAGGTAACCTACAGGCAAACTAAAAGCAGTCGGACCAACTAACGATGAATAATTCAACAAACATAAAATTATAAGGCCAAAGGATTACGGACAAACAAAAGCAATATTGATTGCATAGTAACCATTTGGGTTTTATGATTTTTCTTCTAAAACAACTAGGATTAAGGAGTTTCTGAAGAGCACAGGTCATTCCAACTTAAGTAAAAACACTGTCTAACCATCACAAGGAACATAGTTCACCTGCATGGTGATGCTTTCAAGCGGTTGGGAGCTATTTCTAATTCTTAAAGGTGGATGGTAAATTTACCTACATTTCGGTTCCTGAATTATGTTTGGATCAAGATATGCAACAGTAACTGCAATTCAAGATATCTCTTAATCAGTTACAAACTTTTGGGAGCTGATAACACCTGCACAGAAATTATCTTGCTAGTGCAAATTACAAGTCCTAAAACACAATACACACACTTGTGAAGCACAAGGTTCTGCGGAAAATTATTCCAGCTCTGACATTAGCCCCAAATTTAGTGTACCACTCAATCACAGTTTGTAAGGAGCTAGAATTTATTCTAGTAGCTAGATTTACCTGTCACCACACCTATTGAACCTGTCAGTGTAAGGTTCTCCGCCACAATAGCTTGTGTAGCCATTGCCATATAATATCCTCCACTGGCTGCCACATCAGCCATGGATGCTATAACAGGCTTAGTTTCTGCCAGCAGTCTGATTTCTCTCCACATTCTGTGGAGAAAAGCATCCTAATCAATCAACAGAGAACTTGGTTTGAAAAAAATAAAATAATGTTCGTCAGAGTCTATTACAGAAGCTTTTATATGTGGAAAATATATTGACTGCTTTGAAGACAAGGAAAGAACAATATCACATTCTATTTTACAAGTGATTTAGCTGAAGTATCATCGAAGAACTCAAAACAGGAGATTAAATGAAAATAAAGAGTTGAGATTTCCATTGTACAAGACAATCAAATAAGCAGTTAGGATTTTGTGTTACTTTACCTATAAAAAACATGGAAGAATGTAAATGCAACATTATAGAAGTTAAAAGGAAAAAATTCAGACAGCCAAGTGGCTCCTAACATAGTGCATACAAAGGAAAGAGCCACCATATAACAGGACTTACAGATCAGAAGCAAGAGCGTCACCTCCAGGACTATCAATTCGAAGGACGACAGCTTTATACCTTTTCGACTCTGCATAGCATAGCCACACATGAAATACAAAAGAAAGAAGAAAATTTCACAACCACAAGAAAGAAGCCAAAATAAGCACGCAATCACCTAAACCTATCAAGCTTTTTCCTCCATTCATCTTAAATCAGCACATATGAAGCATCCAAATCTGCTGCAATTTAGAGTGTACAACACATGCAACAACAACACCAACAATATACCCAATATAATCCCACAAGTGGGGTCAGTATGTACACAACCTTACCTCTACCTTGTGCAGGCAGAGAGGTTGTTTCCGATAGACCCTCGGCTCAAAGCAAGCATTCATACAATTTACAACACATGCAGGAGCCTTAAAGGACATCTTCATTGACTTCCTACTGGTTACCTGAAAATTTTACATACCGTTCTTCTAAAATAACTTTCATAGCTGATAGCAACTTCATGCATTACATGAAAAAATAAGCCTGCAACTAACAATAACCAAGCTGGCCTTACCATCTTTTAGGTTCACTATTAAAGTCTGAAAAAGAAGAAACATTGAATATGAGTGTAGCACTTTGATTATTCAAGTACACCACTAGCAACGTAACACTAACACAGTCCTAGCAAGAATTTTTCTCCTTCATACTTAGCAAACGCTTTTCAAAAATACAAATCTCTCCAGAATCTAAGTTGGAAAGAGAGGAAAGAGCACTAAGCAAATTGGAAAAGAAAAAAAAAGGTAGCCAGAACTGTACAGAGTGGATAATGCCTTGTTTCTGCAAAATGTCTTTTTGAAACTAAAAACTTGGTATTCATGATTTATGGCTAATCAAGATTCACTGTGTAACGACCAACTGTTTTCACATATCTTGACCACTTAATGAATCATTCACGAATTGTGCACATACAAGTACAGTTCATACCTCGTACACTACGAATTTTCTCAATTAACTGCTCTGCTACAATTCCTGAACTGGATGAACTAAATCGACCGCGTGTGCGACTAATGCTCCCAGAGGCTCGAATCACAGCTATCTGTTCTTTATAACCTGTCAGACCGAGAGTCCATCTCCTAACTCTTGAATACTTCCTGCGTCAGAATATAATAACCACAAAATGATTTTAAATACAAAAGGAAAATAGTGCATAACAGATGAAACAAAGAAATTTGGAGAGAGGACACTAAAATACAAGACAATTGATGGTTGACAAAATCCCAAGTCAAACTGAAAAAAGTTATGACACATTCCCTGTTTCGCAGTAGCCACCCGGGATATTTTGCAGAATTACACAAAATAATATTTTTTTCCCTTAGTTTTGATACTCTCTGAAAATTCAAGGGCCATAGATTAGTCCAAAAACAACAGTAAAGTGCAAGGCCAAATTCCAAAATATTGCATCTTCACTTCAATTAATAAAGATCATCAGTTGATCTCATGAAAAGAAACGTACAAAATATTGGTGCAAAAAAGCAATCCTGAGAAAAACATATCCAGGTGACTTGAAATTCAAAAAGAAAAAACCTGTAATCAACTGCAGGGAGATTTTTGTCCTTCGGAATTTCCAAACGCTCTTTCAACATTGACATTACCTGAGTGTTGAACAATCAGTGATCCCTTCATTAACCATGGGAAAAAAAGTGATTTTTAAGTTCTTATGAACATGTCAAGTTCATGAAGCAAGTTAAACATTTTTATGCAGAGTGACTAAATTCAGATGGCCAGATGCATAAATGACACAGCCTCTATCAGCTTAGTACAATAAAAGAGATTACAGTGTGTGCCACTCTTGTTTTCTAGGCAACAATGCTAGCATACAACTTAGTTGCTCTCCTTATAATCACACATAGACCTGCAATGCGTATGTCATCTGATGAATACGGACTGTTTACTTATTATAATAATTTTTTAACTAGAAGTCAACGAAACTGATCTACAACTTAGTTGCTCTCCTTATAATCACATATAGATAGACCTGCTATACGTATGTCGTTTGATGAACACTGACTGTTTACTTATTAAATGAATTTTTAACTAGAAGTCAATGAAACTGATTTCCAAGATTTCATCACTGGCATAAGCTAACGGGTAAAGTTGCTGCCACGTGACCAGGAGGTCACAGGTTCGAGCCGTGGAATCAGCCTCCGGCAGAGATGTAGGGTAAGACTGCGTATAATAGACTCTTGCGGTCCGGCCCTTCCCCGGATCCCACGCATTGCTGGCGCTTAGTGCACTGGGCTGCCCCTTTTTTTTTCTTTTCATAAGCTAAAAATATATAAGAAAAGGGTGAAAACATTGGATACTGAGGTCTGCTCATCATAAGACTGTAAAAGAGTACAGAGATTATGATAACCTGTGCAGCTATAAAATTTGTATATAAAGTTCAGTCCTCATAAAAGTTTGGTATGCATCCCAGATTAGAAGACCTGCTTTTGCGAGGTCCCTTCGGGTACACCCGATAAAGTTGAAATCATAGAGAGGCCTAGTTTGGCAAGCAAAGAGATCAGACACAATGTTGAAGAAGTGTAATAGATTACTCCCTCCGTTACAAAAAGAGTGAAGGGCTCAGAGTATGAGAGTCAAAATGTCAAATCTCAATTCGGACATTGATTTCTTAATCTTTTTAAGCTAAAATTTGCAACAAATGTAAATTAGATAAAGAAATACTATAGTTACAACTTTTTTTATAAATAAAAACATTTCAAAAATATATGAAACATTTGTGGTCAAAGAAAAAAATGTTTGATCACATAAAAAATAAGTGTCATCTAAACCGGAATAGAGGGAGTATTATTTAATATGAGAATATCTCAACATTCCATGAACAAAACATTTATATCATATATATAAAGATGAATTCTTGATTTAATTTCTAATGCAGAGAGAGGTAAATCATCCTAGAATCACCTACACCAGAATGGTCAATTAAATGGCACATACTAGTAGTTGACTACATTTTTTTCCCTTCATGATATCTTAAGAATCGACTTTCCGTGGAAAAGAAGTAAATCCATTACCATTCCCAATTTATTTGAAAAGAACCCCCCGACCCCACCCACAAAAAAATAAAAGGAAAAAACTCAGCCATTAAATCAGTTGAACTTACAAATAATCACAGAACTGTTTCTATCAAGTAATGCCTCAAGACACCTAGCAACTTACTGTACCTCATCATCGTACTTTATATCTGTTATCCAGCTCTCTTCCTTTAGCCTTTCAACTTGGTAAACTCCGTCATTGACGAAATGTTCAATGTCTTCTTTTTTCTTCCCTAAGTAAGAAAATCAGATCATGAAAATCCCCACTGGAATAGCTTTATATCTCCACTTATGAACTTCAAATCTGAAGTCACCTTTAGTGAGAGCAACTTTTTCGAGCCAATTTCCATAGATATTATCAAGTAATGCAGTTAGCATCTCTCGATTTTCATCAGATATACTTTTACGCATTAGTTGATCTCCAGCACTCTTATATCTACCAATTCTTTCCACTTGTGGCTCAATTCCAACTTTCTCAAAGACACCTGCAGAGCAACATATTTGCTGCAGTTAAGGGGTGATCGTAAGCAATTTAAGATCACATTTGCACTTTTGTTAAACAATTGAGGCTGCATTCACCCACTCACTGAAACCCCAATAACACTGGCCAGCAAATTCCAGTAACTCTGGAGTGAAATAGGTTTATACTTTTTGCACTTTTGCATAAATTGGAATATAGAAAAAAGTATTATTGCAATGATGACTAACTCAATATTCCGAAAATGAAGCTCAGCCAGCATTCCATACATCCAAGGATCAGTAAGAATTTAGCACTTCCGGGATAGTTAAGGGAAACTTGTCTCGCCAAGATTCTATTTGTATCAGCTGGGAGCTAAAGAACTAACCTCCCAAAAATGATGCTTGAACTGATAGACCATACAAGGCAAAGTAAGCACTTGGAGGGGCATAAAGCTCTTGACAAGCACAGCCGATGTAATACTCCTTTTCACCACAAGCAGGTGCATAGCCAACTATGAATTTACCTGAAAAATAACAAAGATTAATGCTCTTCTTTACTTTCTTTTTCCTAATTCCAGAAAAAGTATCTTATATTGAACTCTTTCAACATGAGAAGCTTAATTAATCCAAGTAATTTTTCAGTCTATGCAACATTATACTCATTTTAAATTCAGACTTGTTGCGCAATCAGTTACCTCAGATGCTACTATGAAGGAAAATACTTCTACATAATGATCAAAAATAAAGAGATGTACGTATAATTCTAAGACTTTATAAGGAAGTAATATTGCTATTCTTTTAGCATTTTTTTTTTACTGGAAAGGTAAGAAAGATATATTTTTCTAGCATTGCTTCTTAATCAGTCAAGCATTGATAATATTTTCTCTTCAAAATTGTCTTGAAAGTTTAGATTTCTTATAAGATAGTTTCTAGTCTAATATTCATCTCACCTGAGACATGGCATTACTCCAATTTCATAACATAGGAAGCACTGAAATACGCACATACTTCAAGATGCCGGACATACTTGAAAACTTCATCACATATGAGACGTACAGAATGAGCACAAGAATTTTCCATTCATTTGCATTGAGGAATTGGGACTAGTAGGCACACAGATAAGATGGGGAAAGCAGCGACCACTTCTTGTAGTCAATCGTAGTGAACGTGGAAAATGTTGTGACTCTATTGTTCTTCAAAGCGATAAACAAAGACAGAAGGGCGTACTTGCCTTAGAGTCTAGTATGGTGGATCTTACATAATTCTGATAATGTCCAGATAAAACAACTCCCAGGGACCTTGAAATTTCCATCACCTCTCAAATTAGTTCACAACAACTTTTGACATTGATCTCCAATAGTCACTTATCTTATTTTGTGGTCTTGGTCCAAGAGGGCAAAGAATATTTCCTCCCTTCCAGTCCCTCAACCTAAAAGTTCCTATAGTACTAAAGGCTTATATATATGAATGCCTTCATCTATTCATTATGTCCTAGATTTTTTTTGTTCCTACTTGGATTAAAATATTTCTCTTCCTTGGTTCAAATTCAACCCTTACAAGCTTACAGCGACAGATATAACAAAATGTCATCTTTTTCCTCTTTCCCAAGTAAGTTACATAATCAAGTGACAAGCACATGAACATTTTACAGCTTTCAACATTCCACAAAAGTATAAAGATGAAACCTTGCCTGATTTCCTGAAGTCCAGTATATGCCTCCGAATTTCTTCAACTTTGCCCCAGCCACAACTCAAAGGTTCAATGTGGAGATAAACACCAGAGATTCGAGGATCATACGCGGCCTTTATGAAGTTCTCACAAATTTGAGGTAGAGATAATCCTGAAGAGAAACGGCTCTGTAACTGATCAGATATCTGACATGACAAACAGTACAAGAGTTTCAACTACTTCAACTAAACAGAAAAGAAATAACTAAATAAGCATTAGCAAAATAAAAGTATTCTATGTTATTCAATCTGTATTACTATAATAAATAACAAAACAGTAAACTTTCTGAAACAGAAACAGAAAGTTAGCAGCAACAGAATGTCGAAATAATATATGAAAAAATAATTTCGGAATAAATCGAGTCCATTGAATGCACAGTGTGTCCTTAAGGAAATTATTCCCCTCAAGTACCCGAGGTGCTGGAATATTATCCTCCAGGATAGAACGATTTAACTCACCGGTGTATTGGTAACCAAAAACCACAGTGTCAGCGAACCACTCAATGGTAGTAAATCACAATGGAATAGATTTGTGCAGAAGAAGAAAAAGTCTTGAAGTTCAGAAAATTCGTAAGGAAAAATATGAGGAATCAAACGAATTTATAGCCAATGGAAGTACTGTTTCTGAAAGTTTACAACCCTTCAGAACAATCACTTAAAAACGGGAGAGAAATTTAAATAAAAATCCGGGAAGAAAATGAATCGGGTGGCGCACGGATCCGGTTCGGGTTGGATATTTGGCTAATTTAATTAATATTTTATTACATAATTAAAGAAAGTTTGTCCAAAAAGATTAATCAATCAATCTTTGACCGAAGCCGAGCAATGACTGCGCGAGGCTTGCTTCTTCTTAACTCTTTAAGAGCTAGAAGAAGAGCAATTATATATATACCAATCAAAAGTCTTTTCCAATATGGGACAATGTCCCTTTGTCAAGGTGATGCAGCCGTAATGGAACAGTAAAAGAAAGGCAAAGGATAAGCAAAAAGGAAATAAAATTAGGGTAAAGAAATATTCTCTTGATTGATTTCCTCAGCTGCAAAGGTACAGAAATATATATAACTCACTATCATTAAAGGACAAAACTAGATAACCACTGTAAGGGACCCAAAGTCCTACTAAGGCCTAATTACAGGGGTCCAATTGCAACCTATGAAAGTATGAAATAAACTATAAGGGAGGACTTAAGTGTCACTACCCAAAACATATAAATTCCCGTCTATTAATTGACTCCAACGGCTAGGTACCATTGCGCAAACTCAACGTACAACTCCACTAAGCTTCTTCATTTTAACTGTGCATCAGTTCTCCCCTGTTGAAGTCTTCCTTGTCCTCAAGGAAGAAAAGATAGAAAACATATCTTCAATGCTGAATAGTCTTCCCATGTTGCTAATTCTGATGGAAGCTCCTTCCACTTAACCAACACTTGAGCCACTGCCTTGTTTCCTTTTTGAATCAGCCTTCTCTCCACTATTTCCTTTGGTTGTGGACAATAAGGGCTAGATAGCTCGATAACAGGAGGATGGGTTATAGTAGAAGGTAACTCATGGCAAGCCTTAAGCTGAGAAACATGAAAAGTTGGGTGCAATAAGAGCTGGGCTGGGAGTGACAACTTGTATGCCACTGATCTTATTTTCTGCAGCACTTGGTAAGGGCCATAGTACCTTGCTGAGAGCTTAGTAAAATGTCTGCCTGACATGGATAGCTGCATGTATAGCTGGATTTTAAGGTAAACCCAATCTCCCTCCTTGAACTGCCTATCAGATCTGTGTTTGTTGGCTTGTTCTTCCATCATTTGTTGAGCTCTCTTGAGATGATATTTCAACAATTGTGTCTTAAATTCTCTAGTCAATGGGCTTCTGTCAACTTCCTCCACTTGAGAATCCCCAGCCATGTAGGGTAGGTGTAATGGAGGTGGTTGTCCATACAAGGCCTCATATGGTGTGCTTTGTATAGAGGTGTGGAAGGTTGTGTTGTACCACCACTCTGCAGCTGCTAAGAACTGTGACCAGTCTGCTTGGGAGTCTGAGCAGAAACACCTTAGATATGTCTCCAAACACCTGTTCACTACCTCTGTCTGTCCATAGTTTGAGGGTGATCGGCAGTAGAGGTGTTGAGGGTTACTCTCATCATAGAGAACAGTTCTTGCCAAACCTTACTTGTAAAAATGGGATCCCTATCACTGATGATATTCTCAGGCACTCCATGTAGCTTGTATATGTTTTCCATAAAGAGTTTGGCAACATCATGGGCAGAGTAAGGATGGGAAAAGGCTAGAAAGTGAGCATACTTGGTTAGTCTGTCCACCACTACCCAGATCACTATTTTTCCTTTAGATTTAGGCAGCCCATCTATGAAATCCATGCTGATACTGCTCCAAGCTGCCACTGGTATTTTGAGTGGCTGCAGTAATCCAGGATAAGGGGCATTGTCATACTTGTGCCTCTGGCAAACATCACATGCCTTAACCAATTCTTGAACTTCCCGTTTCATGTTCTCCTACTGTTGAGCTATGCCACAATTTCAGTATATCCTTCCTAAGTTGAAGATCAGGTCCAACTACGAGCTTCTCCTTCTTCCTGAGTTGGCCATGTATAAAAGTGTACCCCTTTGTATTATCTCCTCCTTGTTGTATTGACGGAATGATGGTTTTCAATTCTTCATCAAGCTCCTAGCTTTGCATAATCATTTCAAGCAAGTCAGTCCTCACAGTGGATAGGGTCATAGAAGCAAATTGGATCAGTGGAATTCTAGATAAGGCATCTGCTGCTTTGTTTTCCTTTCCCTTTTTATATTCTATTTCAAAGTCATATTGCATTAGTTTGGTGATCCATTTGAGCTGAGTACCAGTGTGAAGCTTGTGCTCTAGTAGAAACTTTAGGGCCCTCTGATCTGTTTTAACAATGAAAGGCCTCATTGTCAAATACTGAGACCATTTGTTGACTGCCATTACTAGTGCCAACAATTCCTTGTCATAGACAGATAAAGACTGATGTTGTGTGGATAATCCCTTGCTGAGAAAGGCAATAGGGTGTCCCTTCTGCATCAAAACAGCTCCAATGCCTACATTACAGGCATAGTCTCAACCACAAAAGCCAATGAAAAGTCAGGGAGGGCTAATACAGGAGCTGTGGTGAGGGCAACTTTAAGTTGACTGAAAGCTCTTCTAGCCCCTTCAGTCCATGTGAACCCATCTTTTTTTAGCAAGTGAGAGGTTTGCTGATCACTCCATACCCTCTTATGAACCTCCTATAATACCCTGTTAACCCCAAGAATCCTCTTAATTGTGTCACAGACTGAGGCTCAGGCCATGATTGAACAGCTTCAATCTTTCTTGGATCAGTTGATACCCCTTGAGCTGAGATGTAATGACCCAAGTATTCCACCCTTTGTGCAGCAAAGACACATTTGTTCTTCTTTGCTAAGAGCTGGTGTTGGAGTAACAAGCCAAAGACCATTCTTAAGTGTTGCAGATGCTCTTCCAAATTTCTGCTGTAGACTAGGATATCATCAAAGAAGACTAAGATGAATTTCCTGAGATGCTCTTGAAAAATGTGGTTCATTAAGCTTTGAAAACTGGATGGTGCATTGGTCAACTCAAAGGGCATGACCAGGTATTCATAGTGCCCAGAATGAGTTTTGAAGGCTGTCTTGTGGACATCATTTGGTGCCATTCTAATCTGATGGTACCCCGCTTTGAGATCTATCTTGGAGTAAATCTGTGACCCTCCCAGCTCATCTAGGAGTTCTTCAATGATGGGTATAGGAAATTTGTCCTTAATTGTCACCTTGTTGAGGGCTCTGTAGTCAACACAAAGCCTCCAGGACCCATCCTTTTTGCTTACTAGCACCACTGGAGAGGCATAGGGGCTGGAACTGTACTGTATGATGCCTTGGTTCATCATTTCCCTCACCATTGTCTCAATGACATCCTTCTGCACTGGTGAGTATCTGTAAGGTCTGGAGTTGACTGGCAAACTGCCCTCCTTCAAAGGGATATGATGATCAAACACCCCTCTTGAAGGAGGTAACTGTGTTGGCTCTTCAAATATTCCTGCATACTCAGCAAGAACCACTTTAAGTTCCTCTGATTACTCACCTTTTTCAGGTTCTGTCACATTAACTTCCTTGCATTCAGCCTCTCTTACCTTAACCATGAAGAACTGTTATCCTTCAATGGTCATTTTGCTGATAGCTTTTGGTTGAACTGTTTTGAATCTTGGCTGAATCCCTTGCAAGGTGAGCAATTGCCCTTTATACTCAAATTCCATCATAAGCTTTCTGAAAGTGAACTTGATATCATCTAGAGGGTAGAGCCATTGTATTCCCAGTACCATATCACTTTTGCCAATTGGGAATACTAAGAAGTCATCCTGGAACACAGCCCCTTGCATTAACCATTTGAACCCCTTACAGATACTATCTGTAGGCACTTCTCTGCCATCAGCAACCTGTACTAACTTAGGCTTAGTCTTGCTTATTTGGCATCCCAACCTTGTTGTTGTTCCTTCATCTATGAAATTATGTGTAGAGCCACAGTCAATGAAGATTTCCAAAGGCTTTTGTTCTGTGAACCCTCTTAACCTCAAGGTTTGGTAGCCTAAGGTTCCATTTAAAGCCTGCAGGGATATAGCACAATTCTCAGGAAGCTCTGTAGCTATCTCCTCTCCTTCCTCTTCTATTTGCTCCTCTTCCTCCTCTTCTATTGGTACCTCACCTACTTCCGGCTCTAGTGAGAACAATTGCCTCTTGGCCTGGCATTTGTGGCCAGGTACAAACTTCTCATCACAAAAGAAACACAATCCTTAAGCCCTCTTTTTCTCCATCTCTGCTAAACTCAACCTCCTCCTTCTGTTATTGTCAAACTTAGCTGTAGCTGGTTTCTTGAATGTATTCAAGTTGTTCCTGGGCCAATTGTTTTGACCCTGACTTATGTGCCATTCATCTTTCGGTTTTTATGTGTATGTTACTATTACGGTTTTTATTGGAGTTACTAATGAATTCTCTCCTCTTGTTTTTTTTTACTTTATTTTCGTCTTTCTGAGCCAAGGGTCTATCGGAAACAGCCTCTCGACCCTTATCGGGGCAGGGGTAAGGTCTGCGTACACATTACCCTCCCTAGACCCCACTAGGTGGGATTTTACTGGGTAGTTGTTGTTGTTATGTTCCCCCTATGCACAGCTGACATTGAGTTGCCCACCTTTATGGCCTTACTCAGGGCTGCAAAGCTGGCTTCATGCAGTCTAGCCAAGTAGAAGGCCTGGGGTAGTGTGCAAGGGTTGCCAATCGTTACAGCATTGCTGAGCTCTGGTTTTAGGTTGTTTAAGAATATGCTGATGGCATGCTCTACAGCTATGTTGAGTCTAGTCATAACATTAGTAAAGGATCTTTAATAATCCTTTACTGTCCCTGTATGCTTAATGTTCATGATCTCAGTTATTTCCGCCATTAATCTACAGAGCGAGGTCGTGCCCTGATACCAAATGATGCAGCCGCAATGGAACAGTAAAAGAAAGGCAAAAGATAAGCAAAAAGGAAATAAAATTAGGGTAAAGAAATATTCTCTTGATTGATTTCCTCAGCTGCAAAGGTACAGAAATATATATACCCCACTATCATTACAGGATAAAACTAGATAACCACTGTAAGGGACCCAAAGTCCTACTAAGGCCTAATTACCGGGGTCCAATTGCAACCTATGAAAGTATGAAATAAACTATAAGGGAGGACTTAAGTATCACTACCCAAAACATATAAATTCCCGTCTATTAACGGACTCCAACGGCTAGGTACCATTGCACAAACTCAACGTACAACTCCACTAAGCTTCTTCATTTTAACTGTGATCACAACGAGGGAAATTCAAATATTTCATTTTTCCTCCGTTTCCCATTCACTCTTTATTTTAAGCTAACCAAGCTTAAACCTAACATTCTATACCAATCAATAAATGTGTGACTTCCCCACCCTTCGTCTCTCTACTTAGCTACATTTAGAAGTTGATTCACTTCCCACAAACTCTATATCCAATTGAACTCCAGAACTAATCAGGAAAATACTTTTCTTCGAAAAAAATGTTACTTATGATTACTATGACCAAATCGGGTGGACATTGTCAATATGATTAATCAAAATTTCGAAGTTAACCTGGCCGCGCAATTTCATAGTGAGAACACTGCCTTTGCGGACGCGCTCCCAAGGAAATGCAAAGAGCATTCTGAACTTCACTAATAAGCTCTTCCAAGCACCGTACTCCTCCAATTCAAATTCTCCGCTCGGATATTGATCCTCCTTGGTAGAATTACTTTTCGCACTATCATCATCGCCGTTGATTTCAGAACCAAGCTCTTCCTTGGTTCCATCTTTGGAAGACGACGATACGTCGTCGTTTTTTGTATCGAAGGCTGAAACGGAGAAATTCCGGTGAATGCGGCAACGATTATCAGCAGAGGGAAGGTTGAGGAGACGAGTAGTGTAGTGAAGAGAGATGAGAGAACGAGCGGGAGAAGTGTGAATTGGAGAAGAAGAAGGTTTAGAGAGAGTGGAAGTGACTGTGCGGAGGTGAATGGAGGTGAGACGAGGTGTGGATAAAAGCTTCGCCATTCTCTCTCTCTATCTATTTTCCCACGCTTTCGGGCTGAAGTGGAGAAATCAAGACTCAAGAAAAGAAGAAATGCCCGAGTCTTGGAACGCGGTTCCCTAAGTGCCACGTCGTCGGCAACGTTACAACACAAGTACACATCGCCTC